TCTAAGGCCTGCCTTGTCCAAACTTTTAAGAAAGTTTTGCTTCCCATTTGTCTTGAGTATCATGGAAACAACCCAACTCTGCAGTACCTGTACTGTATGTTATGGGACCACTTGAGAATCAAATCAATTGTCTTCCGAGCAAGACGGGTTACTGTACTGGCATTCCTAGTCTTCCTAGAGCTCCCTAAATGCTAGTTTCCTTCTAGTCACCCTAAAAAGTCTAACCCTAATCTAACGTACCGTTTCAAAAACGGCATACTCTTCACCGATGTTCATCCCAGAGACCAAGCCGGGACCTCCGACAAGTCCGCAAGCGATGTTCGAAATGATATTTCCGTAAAGGTTCGGCATCAGCATAACATCGAACTGTTGTGGTCGGGAGACCTACGATGAATCAAGTTACTTCTTGAAATGAGTTAAACTGGAAAAATTTAGACCCACGAGTTGCATGCAGGCATTATCGACGATCATTGAGTCGAACTCGATTTGTGGATAGTCCGATTTGGCCATCTCCTTCACAACCTAAGGTAACCTGGGAGAGAATTATGTTTTTTTTAATGAGAATATTGGAATAACAGACTTGCTAAGTTGAATGAATGCTTCGAAATCATTTTCAAATTCACTTTTCTACTGATGCTGTAGCCGGCTGTACTTCTAAGCAGAACTTTAGGAAAATTCTCAAATTAAGGCAGAACTTTTTTGGGGGTTGATCACAACAATTGTCCTACCGTATAGACTACGTACATAGTTCCCAGCGCTTAACTATTCCACTTATTCTGTATAGATTCTATTCGCTATTGCCGATTAATCAAGGACTAGAGATGAACTGACGGTGAACTGTTTGGAACCCAGAGTCTATTTCCTTTCAGAAATGCTGAGGCTCTTTCATCTAGTCGGCCTTTGCAGTAACTTGGACCACCCACAAGGACCGAAAGAACTTAAAGGGACAAATGCCTTTTTTTTTCTGTGATTGTTAGGTGCTATAAATCAGAAGTTACCATTGGCGGTAACCCGTAGACGCTTTGAATCATCTAATCAAACTAAATCTCTCCCCAATTGTTCAGTTGTGTACTTCAACTTCTTGGGTACTCACCTGCAAAAAGAGGCCGTCTCCCAGTTTCTGGATGTTCGCCTTGTGAATAGCTGTCACTTTTTTGCGGTTGTTCAATGCGGCATATTCGAAGGCCATACGAGCGATTCTATCAATGCTGCGACGGGTCACAATCTGAATCGAAAAACTGTTGGAGGAAGCTGTTGGTGAGAGGCTGGGACTGAGTCAAGATATCAGTTTTCTTGACTTCTCTCTTGGGTGTGAGTGGAGGGAAAGCTCTCTCCTCGTTTTTCAGCAAATCTGCA